TTTCCTGTATCATGTGCAGCCCTTTTCAGAAGTGTCTGGGTTTAAATAAAATGTGTCTTGTTAGTTTACCTTAAAACTTGTCCTTTGCCTCAATTCAGCAGAATCCTATGAAATAGATATGCAGCTTGGAGCCGTTCTTCACACCCCCACAAGTGCTAAAAATGGCCCTGATACAACATGTATTTATGTAACAGTCATCTGCATTAATATCTTCCTTGCCTTTCTGCATAGAGCCTAGGAAGGACTGTCCTGGGTGGATTTTAATGCAGTCCTGCACAAAGAGGAGGGTACTCTCTCCTCCATTCCCCTGGAGCTCACTGCAGTCCTGTTGTCCCAAATGCAGTGATGGTGAGTGACACCCTTCTTAACCACAAGACCAATAAGCATGATTATGACATGACTATTTACATTGCTCACATTTTTAAACCAGCAAAAAGGTAGGGGGATGGCTGGCTGGCTCTGGGCATAGGGAGTGAGCAGCAGAGCCTTTCCTTCTGATTCAAATTTGGAAGAAGTGACTGAAAGTTGTTACTCTCCAACAGCTGCTTGGTGCCTTATTGGTCATAGTCATATCCTAATAGGGCTGTTCTCAGATCTCATTGTACCTGCCCCCCTGGTTGGCAGCCTCAAAAGAGAGTTCAGATACTGTGCCAGCCAAGAGACTGAACTCCCCTTAACCTCTTAGAGTTAATCCCTCTAGGTCAACACTGAGTTATGTCATCAGGGTGGGAGGAATGGGGGGGAAAGCCTGAACTGTTGCTGCTGCTATGTTGATAAATTTCAGAGGAACAGCCGTGTTAGTCTGTATTCGCAAAAAGAAAAGGAGTACTTGTGGCACCTTAGAGACTAACCAATTTATTTGAGCATGAGCTTTCGTGAGCTACAGCTCACTTGAGCTGTAGCTCACGAAAGCTCATGCTCAAATAAATTGGTTAGTCTCTAAGGTGCCACAAGTACTCCTTTTCTTTTTATGTTGATAAAGAGAGTCTTGAGGGCAGGCAAGTCAGCAGTGTTCACCACCATCAAACTTCCTTAAAGAATAAACAGCCTTCAACCCCTGAACTTCTTAAGCAAAGGCTTATGCACACACCTCTGGTGTTCCTCTTTGTTTACCGATATCAACATGTACTGTTGGGCTTTCTCACAGGTTAACGAATGCATCACTGTTCACTGAATACTTGTGGTGTTTCACTGGTGCAGGATGGCTTGGCCCTGGGGCTTGTGTTTTGCAAGGGGCTGGTTGGGCTGTCCCAGAGAAAGACCCCTAAGCCTGTTAAATGTCCAAACTTGCTGCCTGTGTGGAACTTAGTACTAACCCAACAGCAAGAATCAAACCAATATTCTCATCAGCATCTGTAAACTTGATAAGCCTATTTCCTTCCTGCCCCCCTTCGCACTTCCCCGTAGTGTTGAAATGAAGGCAGAGACATGCTGAGAGAGGCAGTGCAGTGCTCTGTTTGCAGACAGTAATATGCAGACCACATGTATGTATTCAAGGCTGTATAGAATAATAATGAGCCAGGAGCATTTAAATGTGAGCCAAGGGGAATTTGCTATTCTGTGTGGGCAGATTTCAATTGTAAGGTTGGCAGCTCTGGTATCCTGTTCTCTAATGCCATGGGATGAGAAAAAATAGGCTTTTCTTTCACAGCAGTTGATTATTGAATCCATACCAGCTGTTCACCCTAATCCAAGCTTTCTGTGCTTGCTCCTTGTAATAGAGGCGTCTCTCATCCATCCATCCGCCTGTCCCCTGGCTCTCGTTTTCATGGTCCTTTTGTAATCTTTCAGAATGGTGGTTAGCAGATAGCAGCCATCTAAAGAGACATAAACATCGATACTAGGCAAGGGTTATAACTAATTAACAAGAGAAGAAAGGCCCTGTGGCCTCTTAGTGAAGCCCAAATTATATTTCTCAGCCATGACAAGACGTGTGAGAAGGAAAAGAAAAAGCTGTCACAAATCAAAGATCAGGAAACCATTTTTAACAGTGACTACCCAGCTCGGTGCCCAGTGACAATGCGAACAGTGTGGTGGCACAGCCTAGAGCTGGTCCTTTGCACATGCAGTCAGGTGGCTGTCCCTTTGGCAACTGAGGGCCAAAAACAACTCTTTTTTTTGTAATAAAGAAGGTGAAAGGGGTGAGAGTCGAGGGAGAGGATAAGAGATGAATTCCTCTTGGCCACTTCCCACACTGCTGGTCACATTATGTAAGACCGGTACTGGTTATGTCTTCTCTGCTTTGTCATTGACTAGTTCATTCCATCTCTGTTACAATTATTTCCCTTATCAATCTATACAAATGCAAACTGAACTGCAATCTCACTTCTAATGATGGTCCCTTCAGGCCGGGGTTGAAGTCTACTGGTGGGGGACAATGGGGAACGTGAGACAATATGTTCTGTGAATGGCTAGATATACAATTGCATCCTTATACCATACATGTGGATACATAAAACAAATTAATCCCGATGCTTGACTTGCGTTATTTAGAGCTGTCAAGGTTGTGCACACGGCTAGCTAACATTTTAAAATCAGCAGGTTTTGATAACCTGCACCCAAAAGTCCTAAAAAGAGTTGGCTGAGGACATCTTTGGCCCAATTTTAAATAAATCTTGATATACTGGGGAAATTCCAGAAGACTGAGGAGTGCTAATGTTATGTTAATGTTATGTTATGTTAAAAAAAAAAAAAGGCAAGTGGGATGACTTGGGTAACTAAAGGTTGGTTACCCTGACATTAATCCTGGGCAAAATAATGGAAAAGTTGATATGGGATTCAATTAATAATGAATGAAAGGATAGGGATATAATTAATATGAGTCAACATGGTTTTATGGAAAACAGATCTTGTCAGACAAATCTGATTTCATCCTTTGATGAGATTACAAGTTTGGTTGATGAAGGTAACCATGTAGACGTAATATACTTAGACTTTTGTCAGGCATTTGACATAATACCACAGGATTAAAAAAAAGTAGTGCTGTACAATATCAGTAGAGCACACATTAAATAGATTAAGAACTGGGTAACTGACAGATCTCAAAAAGTAGTTGTTATTGGGGAATCATCGTTATTGAATGGGGGTTTTTTAGTGGGTTTCCACAAGGACGAGTAATGGGCCTGACACTATTCAACGTTTTCATCAGTGATCTGGAAATAAACATAAAATCTCTGCTGATAAGATTTGCAGCTGCTGCAAAGATTGGCAGAGTGGGAAACGATGATGACAGAGCAGTGATACAGAGTGATCTGGGTTGCGTGGTAAGATGGGACCATTCAAACAAAATATGTTTTAATACAGCCAAATGCAAAGTTATACTTCTAGAAACAAGGAATGCAGGCCATACTCAGAGGATGGGGGACTATACCCTCCAAAGCAGTGACTCTGAAAGGGATTTAGGGGACAGATGGGACAAGCAACTCAACGTAAGCTTCCAGTGTGGTGATGTGGCAAAAGGGCAAGTGTGATCATTGGATGTATAAACGGGAGTAATGGGTAGGATTAGGGAGGTGATTTTAACTTCTGAATACAGCATTGGTGAGCCCAATACTGGAATACTGTGTCCAGTTCTGATGTCCACATATTAAAAAGAATGTGGAAAAACTAGAGATGGTTCAGAAAAGAGCCTCCAAAATTATTTGAGGGCTGGAGAAGATGCCTTACAGTGAGATGCTTAAAGAGCTCCATCAGTTTACATGATCAAAAAGAAGATTGAGAAATAACTCAATCACAGTGTATAAATACCTTCCTGGGGAGAAAATACTGGGTGCTAAAAGGCTCTTTACTCCAGCGAGTACATAAGAACATAAGAGCAGCCCATCTAGCCCAGTATCCTGTCTTCCGACAGTGGCCAGTACCAGGAGCCCCAGAGGGAGTGAACAGAACAGGCAATCATCAAGTGGTCCATCCTCTGTCGCCCATTTCCCAGCTTCTGACAAACAGAGGCTAGGAACACCATCCCTGCCCATCCTGGCTAATAGCCATTGATGGACCTATCCTCCATGAATTTATCTAATTCTTTTTTGAACCCTGTTATAGTCTTGGCCTTCACAACATCCTCTGGCAAGGATGTTGTGAAGGCCAAGACCATATCAGGGTTCAAAAAAGAACTAGAAAATACTGGGTGCTAAAAGGCTCTTTACTCTAGTGGAGTAAGGCAAAACAAGAACCAATGTCTGAAGCCAGACAAATTCAAATTAGAAGTAAGGCACACATTATTAACAGTTAGGGTTATTAATCATTAATTTGGGACTACCAAGGTAGGTAGTAGATTCTCCATCTCTTGATGTTGCCAGATCAAGACAGGATGCCTTTGTGGAAGAGATGCTGTAGCTAAACACAAGGGAGTGAAATGTAGTGAAATCTAGAATTCAGACTAATGGGTCTTGCTGGCCTTAAACTCTGAGTAGCCGATGTAATCTTGTTTTCTTACTGATGATACCCTCATCCTCCTCATATCCGCTTCCCCTTATAGTTTGTTACACAGACTTGTCTTACATTAGAGGGAACTCATCAGAGCAGGGACTGTACCTTTATACGTGTGTGCACAGCATTGAGCTCAATGGAGTCCAGATTTTGTCTGGGGCTTCTGAGAGCAACTGCAATGGAAATATTAAATCATAATAATTAAAAACAAAACATTTGAGCCGTAGGCCCAAATTCAATCTAAAGTGGGTCTGTCTCCCCTGGATGTTTTTGGTCCAAAATCATCAGGGATGTAAATAGTTATGTATTTGGTGTAAATTACCCAGAAAATAGGTGTTAATTAAAGTAAGTGGAAAATTGTTTACATCTGGCAATCAGTGGGTGTGCTAACTGGGTGTAATTTACACACAGGACTGAGCAAATATTGCCAAAAAATGGACTGATGAACCTTGCTGATTTACACTTTGCTGGGGATCTGACTCAATGTTGGGAAATATTCATTGGACTTTAGAAATTAATTTGCCCTGTCTGTCTGTTGATACCCTCTTTTTGCTGTGTTTGCTTTCAGTGAATATTCTAGGAAGTGAGCTGACTGGCAGGAATGTTGTTGGCAACAGTGAATATGGGAAAATATTCCCAAAACACAGGGCTCAGGTCTGATGTACTTCACCACCCTTTACATCACAACTGAATATGAACCATAGCTGCCTGGCTGTCAACCCAGCAGCTTTCACCAGCTCTACAGTCATATATCACCAAACGGAAGAAAGAAAGAAAGAAAGAAAGAAACCAACCAACCAACCAACCAACCAACCAACCAACCAAACAAACAAACAAACAAACAAACAGACATATTTGGGTAAGAGACTAATTCAAAGCCTGTTCAAATAAATGGGAGTCTTTCTTTCCATTAACTTCAGTGGACTTCCAATCATGGCTTAAAAGTGGTTCTGTGGGATCTCTGCACATTTCTCAGGGGGCTGGAGGCATTTGGCCTCTTGCCTCACAACATAACTGAGGTGAGCAGGACCGCAGCAGAACTGCTTACCTTCTCTCTTGTTACTATTTTCCTAAGGGACAGCACTAATTCAGTCTCCACATGGAGTATCATCAGTGACCTCTTTGAGTCCATTTCACATTATTGGGATGTGTGCAGAAGCAGACTCAGGCAGAAACAGCATGTTTGGTTGTATATAGGGCAGCAGGGGTGAAGAGGCACTGAAGTAATGCACCTAATTTATCAAATTCTCTTGCAGTGGTGGCCTGGGGGCAGGAGGTGGTTACCATACCATCACACTGCCTTTTCCTTCCCTGCATGCACATCAAACACAGCACAAAGGCTCCTGCTGGACCCTGGCTGTGTTTCAGTGGCGGCACTGGAAGCGTCTCCTGTCAATCACTGAGAGGAGGTGCTAATACTGCATGGCAGGAGACTGAGAGTTTGATGGATAAGGCATAACATAACAAGCGTTCTGATACCCTGGAGTTCACTTCTATGTTTGTGTGGGCAACACAAGGCTTAATTCCAGCCACGGATGTACAGTATGATATGGGCCATATTCTGATCATATGATCATATACAGTTACATCGCTGTAAATAAGGAGGAACTTTTTTAAGGTCAATGGAATTAAGCTGGTGTAAAAGCAGTGTGATGTCAGAATCAGGCTGTGCCTCTGTTTGATGGAGAGAGAGAGGGTGGGAGATCTAAAGTAACCACAGAAACACAGTATTCTTAAATATTAACAAAGATGACCTACTTCTGGATATTCACTCAGTTTATTAGTGCTTCTGGCAGAGCGTTGTAATAGTTAGAGCTTTAAGCTTCAAAAAAGGAAGGGAATCTCTCTATCATTTTCCAGGAGCTGGATTATTTGTAATAATATTGTGTTGTTATATTTCTTTAGCAGTTTTTCTCTTTAGTATATCACAATATTAAATTTGCATTCCTGCTTAATATATTCTTGGTATATTCATGTTCTAATATATTAATAATACATTATGTTCATATAATTAATAGTCCTCTTTTGTCACGTGACAATGGTAAAGTCTAGGGGTCCTGATTCTGCTGTCATTTATACTAGTGTACTCCAACTGAATAAAATGGAGTTACTCTTGGTAATCAAGGCCCCCTGTTTATGTACAGTACTGAGCCAAATTCTGCTCTCTTACACTGTTGCAAATCAGGAAGCATTACACTAATGGCAGTTAAATTACATTGGTATAAGTGAGAGGAAAAATCAGGCCCCAGGCTTTATCTATTTTAAATTACTTCAGTGAAGCTACTAAGGATGTGCAGTATGTATGTATGCTTTATCCATCAAACTCTCAGTCCCCTGCCATGCTGTATTAGCACCTCCTCTCAGTGATTGACAGGAGACGCTTCCAGTGCTGCCACTGAAACACAGCCAGGGTCCAGCAGGAGCCTTTGTGCTGTGTTTGATGTGCATGCAGGGAAGGAAAAGGCAGTGTGATGGTATGGTAACCACCTCCTGCCCCCAGGCCACCACTGCAAGAGAATTTGATAAATTAGGTGCATTACTTCAGTGCCTCTTCACCCCTGCTGCCCTATATACAACCAAACATGCTGTTTCTGCCTGAGTCTGCTTCTGCACACATCCCAATAATGTGAAATGGACTCAAAGAGGTCACTGATGATACTCCATGTGGAGACTGAATTAGTGCTGTCCCTTAGGAAAATAGTAACAAGAGAGAAGGTAAGCAGTTCTGCTGCGGTCCTGCTCACCTCAGTTATCTCAGTATGTAACTGACAGCATTTGACCTCATATATTTTATGCCAGATGAAATACTCAGTGAGGAGCAAAAAGCAAACAAAAGAAGATGACTGGAATTCAGCACCTCCATTATATTAAGGTTGAGACTTTGTCCCTGAAAAAGCTACAGATTTTAATCTGATAGGACCATGCATATTTTCTGATTTTAATTTACAGTGGCTCTTGTTAAAGGTGTAAAATACCTCACGTAGGGCATAAACCAAAGCCCACTAAGCCTCAACTTCATTGGGCTCTTTTTGTCCAGAGATTCTGTACATGGCATGTTAGCAAACTGAGGAGCAAATCCTTGCATATGTTTTATATCTTTACATTTTTGCACTTAACATTTTTGATAATTCAATACAAAAATATGAAAACTAAGATATGACTCATAAAGGTGCTCTAAGTTTCCTATGAGCTGTGGCTCCTTTTTGAGCTTTTATTCTGGGTTCAGGGTCATTATATCACATACAGTATCAAAACGCTCAGACGTCATTGGCAACATGAGTCAAAAAGGAAAAGGATTTGAAAGCTGTAGTTGAAATCTAGCTTTACAGCATGATTTCTCATTAACTGGTAAAATGAAAATCCAACTTGCTGAGGATAACAATGCAATTTGCTGTGTTCTCTGCATTCTATTCAGATACTAGCTCTGTGCATGTCTGCTGTCTGCACATACTGAAATCCAGGGGTTTCTAATTTCTGTGCCTGCAACAGCACTTGAAACTAGATAACATGCTATTAATTAAAGGATTGACTCAAGGATGCATATAATAATAATGATTAATATTTAATTAATGAGCCCATAACATATTTCCTCTCACAGCACCCCCAGGGCACCCAAATATTAGTACTGTATGTATTCTCATTCTGCAGAAGGGAAACTTCAGTGACATGGAGGTTAGGTGACTTCCTGATTGCCACACAGTGATTTATTTTACAGGACTGGATCTGGACTTGTGAATTCCAGAATCCATACCTGGGCTGCAAGAGTATGAAACTAGGGCCTTAGCTAAATAATATTTTTGACCTCAAGTTTCCTACTGTTGCTGTTACCTGTTCATGATTTTAAGTACCACATCACATACACTTGTTCTGATCAGGTCTAAACAACCTGGAGAGAAATTATGGCCTCATTGAAGTCAATGGTAGTTTTCCATTGACTTGAATGAGGCTAGGCTTTCACCTCTGGTGTTTAAAATGGTGTCCACTGCCTGAGCCTTGTCTGTACTAAAGCTCCCCCGTGTAGCTACCACTACTGGAACCAAACATATGGTAGCAATGTTGGGAAATTTCTGGGAACCTCTCCAAAAAAACCACAAAACCAACAACTAGTGTAGGCATCTCCCAGATGGCAGATTAGATAGAGAGAAAGAAACAATGTAATGAAACAGAGAGACCTGTGTGCCAGGGGGATGTAGATAATACTGTGTGCAGCTTTGCAATGCTGTCTAACACCTACATCCACTGGGAAGCAGCCCTTTTTTATTCATAAAATGGCTTGTGTAGAGGGCTCATGAAGGATTTGTAGAACAAGGCAGTATCAACAACCTATTAGTAACACAGCCATATGACAGACTCCGAGGCAATTCCAAAGCTGTTAGCATAATTGATTATAGTTGGAGAGTGGGTGATCTGGGGATTTTTTTATTTTTAAAGGAAGCTTTTTTCTGTTATACCCAAAGTTTTGCATTTTGCAAAAAAAATAAGAAAGGGCTTTTAATATTTCACTTTTTCTGTCCCGCCCCCCATCCGAATAATATACCCTCTATGCTAGATTGATTTCTTTGTTTCCATTCAATGAATGGAATTTTACACAAACATTTAAGTTACCTTTCTCTTTTAAATAGTCATTTAGTTTTCTTTACTTTAAAGCTGAGTTTAACAGAATCTAATTTACATAACAAGCCACTCAAAGCCTATTATGAATCAAATAAAAAACCTGCCATATTTTATCCTTTCTAGCTGACAAGTAGAAAGAAATATGTTGAGAAGGACCTACCCAATGATTAGGTTTTATGGTTGGTGTATATATATTGTGGCGTGTATATATAGTGTGGCACTTTCTAATATATTATTAATATAATATATTATCTAATATATTAGAAAGTGCCACAATAACAAACTAGGATTTCTAAACATAGCAAGATCCTGCAGCATTAGGATGTACCATCTGGACTTTATTCTCAAGGTGATATGACTTTGGCCAAGATAAACCTTGGATTATGCAGAGACACAGGCAATCTTGCATTGACAGTAATAGAAGAAACATGGACTCAAGAGGCAGAATCAAAAAGTAAACAGAACAACTTCTCAGGGACTGTTAGCAGCAGAGGAGCAATGTACAACAAAGAAGGTGAACAGGGGCCCACCCAATCCTGCCCAATACTGAGTACTCTGCCCCAATCCAGCAAAGCATTTAAGCATATGCTTGACTTTAAGTATAAGTAGTCCTGATGTCAATTGAAATAATGTAATAATAGTCCCTTTACTTTGAATTGAATCAATGGGATTACTCACTTGCTCAAAGCTAAGAATGTGCTTTGCTGGATGGGAGCCAGAGTGCTCAGCACCTTTCTGGGCTGAGCCTTAGGTGAGCAATAAAGGATCTGACAGAAGATTTTAGGAAGAACATGAAATATCCAGGGGGTAAAGGGAATCCTGGGGCAGTGGTAAAGTTACAGCTGATGAGACACATAGCTGAGGTCCTCACAGTGACCATTTGTGGACATTAAATATCCCATAACAGTTTTTGCAAGAGGATAAATGAGGTGTTATCCTCAGTGTGCTGATTGAAGTCCAATGTGATTACTATCTGCCTATGAAAATTCCACCTGAAGTGTCAGTTGGCTATAGCAGTCTTCACTTCCTGTCCTAAACTGCTCTGTATTTTGCTGCTCACTGATAAAAAGCTGCCACACATTTCACCATGAGTCATGTATGTCAGTGGAGGGTAGTGATCCCAACATATAGTGACATGGTACTGCACCTCAACTTAAGTCGGTAAAATACATTGAGATTCTTTGGGTGAAAGGCAACACATATTGTAAATATAAGTTGTTACAAAAATTCAAAAAGAGCATGTAAAGGAGTTCCCTGTACTAAGTCATCACCTTCAAGCCACATGTTGGGGTCAAGGTCTGATTTGAATTAGTGGTAATATTACCAATAATTTGCTCTTCTACAACATCTTCTATCTGAGGATCTTTGCAAGCATTAATAAATCAGTCTTCAAAACACCCTTGTGAGATAGGTAAGTAGTATTATAACTATTTTCCAGGGAGAGCTGAAGTACAGCGGGATTAAATGATTTGCCCAAGGGCACAGAGCAAGTGAGCAAGGTAGGTAAGGATTATCCTACTCATTCTACCAGTGAGGAAACTAAATCACAGGTAGCTTACGTGACTTTCCCAAAGTCACATCACACAATGAATGGCAGGGCTGAGAAGAAAATCCAGGAACCCTGACTCCCACTCTTTTGTGCTAACTACTATACCGCACTACTACTTTTTGATTTCCTTCTCAGTCAAAATAAAATAAAACGTCCCTTTGACTCTGAAAAGTAAATTATTCTGCTGAAGTTTGGTTTGAAGCCAAACAATCCAGTCAGTCTCTGAGCTCCTGAGAGCTTGTATCGGTGGGATTTGCCAACACAGCAAAGATGCAACTAAATGAATTTGGGTTTTGAATGGATCTCAGGGCCTTAATTATTCTTAAGTTTTATTTAATTATATATTATTTATTATTAGTGATTTGTATTCCAGTAACTATTATAATGTGCTAACACCATTCACGTACACAAGAAGACACAGACCCTGCTCCAAAGATTTTACATTCTTATTTGTCCTCCTTCTTATTCTTCCCTTGTGGTTTAGGATGAGGTATGACCAAGAAGGGAGTTTAGGCTCCACCTCCAGTTCTATTGAGCATGAAGCAGTTGCAGGGACTCTACGCTTCCCAAAACCAGAACATCAGTACTTCAGGTGAGGTACTGAAAATACAGTGTTCTTGTGAACTCCGCCCCACTTTCAGAGAGGGGACTCAAAAGGCCTGATTTCCCCACACCTCATAGGATAAAAGTTCCTGCAATCAAACATAAGGGCAGTTACTTGTATCCTAATGACGGGGGGAGGGAAGTGGAAGCTGAGACACACAATGGAGGATGAACAAGCGAGTGCTTGAAGAACATCACCATGGTGAAGGGGAAAAAGGGATATGAACAAATACTGACCGTCTACAGATGGAAATCAGAGAAAACAGAGCAGCAATCTGAAGGTGAATCTCTCAACAGTATTTAGTCCTACCGTGCACTTCCTTCACTGTAGCTCCTTCTCCTTTTATTCTTTTTAAATTTGGGCATCATTGTATTTTTGGACAATCAAAAGCTGCAATGAATGTTTGGTACAGGACTACCCCACCCCCCAACACCACACATATGCTTTCATCATGTGTTGTATTGTCAAACCAATGACATATTGAGCTTATTTCTGGTGGCACAAGCTCCCTAACGCACGCTGCTTATGTGTCTCAGTTTGGTCATTCTCCGGGATCCATTTAGTTGTTGCCTTCCCTGCAAAGAACACCATCAAAGGACAATACGTAGTACCAATTGTGAAGGGTCCTTTTATAGTATAGAAACGTAACCTCCAGGAACTGAAGTGAGACCCCCCAACACAGTTCACATAGACCTCTGAACACCTGTCACATGATAACTTTCCATCATCACTGACATGCCACATTTAAACTAGGGAGCTAAAGGCCAAAAGGTTCACACTCTATTACCAATTTCCTCATTTATCCAGTCCCCCAAAGCCTACATTAATTAACCCCCACACTGGCCTTTGGGAAATCATTAAGAGTTTAGAAGCCATGCTGTCTGATTCTCAAGGAGACCCTACTTATCAATGGTTACCTTTCTGTTCCAGTATAGAGAGATTAAGGGAGAGAATTTTCAATATACAGGTTACTGTATGGACCAACCTGAGGTTACCAAACTCAATTTAATCTGAGTTCCCTACTGGTCTTTGAACATTGCAGCCTCTTCCTTTAGCTCCCTAGGCCTTCAAGAGTAAGTAAGGAAATTATGGTTCTTTGTTTTCTCTGTGTATCCTTTACAGAATGCTAAATACTGCACTGTGAAGCTATAAGATTACATTGGAAATGGAAAGGGAAGGGTTTGGCTTTCAATAAATTGTACTAGTGCTATAAGTAGCATTTAGGTAATTGTCTAGGGGGTTATTTTTTCACTTGGACAACTCCATTTTTCCTAAAATAGATTTTTGTAGAGGCTGCATACAGTAGATTTGTCTCTGCCCCTCTTTTGGCTCTTTGCCTGTTTCATTGGCACAGGCTGGCACCATTAGTGGGCATTAGAACATAAGAATAGCCATACTGAGTCAGGCCAAAGTTCCATCTAGCCAAGTATCCTGTCTTCCAATAGTGGCCAATGCCAGGTGCTCCAGAGGAAATGAACAGAACAGGTAATCATCAAGTGATCCATCCCCTGTGGCTCATTCCCAGCTTATGGCAAACAAAGGCTAGGGACACCATCCCTGCCCAAACTATTTTGGTCTTTCATTCACGTCATGTACAGCTTAGAAGAGCATATGCTTCTTTGGAAGGATGGTCCAATGGTTAGACAACTAACTGGAGCTTGGGATGTCAGCCTTCAATTCCCTGCTCCACCACAGACTTCCTGTGTGATACTTAATCTCTCTGTGCCTCAGTTCCCCATCTGCAAAATGGGAATAAAAGCATAGCCCTACCTCACACAGGTGTTGTGAGGATGAATATATTAAAGATTGTGAGGTGCTCAGTTATTCTGGTGGTTGAACAAGTACCTTAGATATGCTACTTTATTGATAAAGAATAGATGTTAGATCAGATTAGGTGTTTGCTGTGTGAATTAGATAAATATTGAAGCAGATCATGAACTGATCAAGAGAGATTGAATGAAGCATCCATGTGCACTATACGAGCCACCTACAGGTAGCATTATCAGACTATGGGGTTGTGACGTTGCACTCTATATGATTTTATAAAAATATGCTAATGAGCGTGAAAATTCTGTAACTGGAATATGCTTCATGCAAAAGGTCTCTTGTAAGGTATCAATACAAAGCTTATAATCTACTGAGTGTGTTCCTATTTGTATAAATGTATCACTCTTGTATCTGAAACTAGAAATATGAAATATAACTCTCAGGTCCTATTGTAGTTATGCAAAGTGTGGGCCATTAATGGTGGTTTGGAATCTTAATGGCTCCCATTAACCAGGACAGTTGACTGTAGATGGCTCTGTTTTACTTGTAAGTCTTCCTGGCTGGCAAGTGGGTAATGAAGTCTTACAGTGACATGTGATCATGTCACCTGAACTGGAATCCATCTTTAACCTGGTGCTTTTCCATTGAGAAGGAGGGGGTGCAAACCCAGAGGGTCAAAGGATTCCTGCCTTAGGCAAAAGGTATATAAGTGGATGAAACAAAACAAAGAGAGGCGGCCATCATGAGAAATCCCCTAGCTACCACCTGAGCTGGAACAAGGGCTGTACCAGGGGAAAGGATTCAGCCCAGACTAGGAAGGTGTCCAGTCTGTGAAAGAAACTTATTGAAACATCTCTGAGGGTGAGATTCTATCTGTATTCAGTTTTATTACTGTACTAGGCTTAGACTTGCATGTTTTCTTTTATTTTGCTTGGTAATTCACTTTGTTCTGTCTGCTATTACTTGGAACCACTTAAATCCTACTTACTTTATTTAATAAAATCACTTTTTACTTATTAATTAACCCAGAGTATGTATTAATACCGGGGGGGGGGAACAGCTATGCATATCTCTCTATCAGTGTTATAGAGGGTGAACAATTTATGAATTTACCCTAAATAAGCTTTATACAGGGTAAAACGGATTTATTTGGGGTTTGGACCCCATTGGGAGTTGGGCAACTGAGTGTTATAGGTAGGAACACTTCTTAAGCTGCTTTCAGTTAAGTCTGCAGCTTTGGGGTATGTGGTTCAGACCCTGGGTCTGTGTTGGAGCAGACTGGCATGTCTGGCTCAAATCAGGCTGGACGCTGAAGTCCCAAGCTGGGAGGCAGGGAAAGCAGGGGCAGAAGTAATCTTGACACATCAGTTGGCAGCCCCAAGGGGGTTTCTGTGATCCAACCTGTCACAGGGGTCTTGGTCAATAAGAACTATGACCCTGGTCCTTCTCCCACTGAGCAAAACTGACAAGTGTTTTTTCTCAGCTTCTATGGCTATGAATAAGTTTCGTAGGTGGAGAAGCTGGCCACGTTTTCAGTTGAACTGAGTCTCTCAACGAGTTGAAATCTGCAGCCTTATCAGAGAGGCATCCAAGCCTAGGTCACACAGGGTAGGCCAGCCAGGCTCAATCTGTCCTACCAAGTTGCACTTATGGTACTAGTTCTGTGAGCTTTGCAAGAGGCACCTTCTGATTTGGAACCAGAGGCTTTCGGTGTCAAATCTTTCTACCTGTGTGTATGTGTGTGCGCGTGCTTTCTCTCCTTGTCACACTGGCTTTTGGTTATTTACTCATCCAATGCCAAGATTTTCAGAAGTGAGTAGTCATTATGGATGTCTCAAGTTTTCGGGTGCCCAGTCTGAGTCACCTTAGAGCGGCCAGATTTTCATAAAGTGTTGAGCACTTGCCCTTGAAAATCAGGCCGCTTTCAGGTGTTTCAAGTTGGGCGCCCAAAAACAAGAAACACCCCAAATTACAAGTTACTTCTGAAAGTCTTTGCTCAAATTCTTCAGCCCTTTCAGTTTAAATTTATAAATTTTTCAGCTAAGAAAAAATTCTCCTCTTCTCTCTTCCATGGTTTAAGAAAACTGTGCACTTTAGTCGGCTTTCCCAAGTTATTCAAGAACATCAGCAATGCTAGTAGACACTGCACACAGAAAAGAGACTATCATCTTATATGGCCTTCATTGCTGTGAGTTCTGAACATATTTACAGGGATCTTGCTCCAAGGCATCCAGTGCAACAGCTGCCTGAACTTCCAGGACATACTCTTGTTGAGATGACAGCCTTTATTATTATTATTATTAATTATTAGTAGTAGTATTACCATAGCCCCAAGAGCCCTACTCCTGGACCAGGACTCCCCTGTGCTAGGTGATGTATAATCACACAATAGAAATATGATCCCTGCCCCAGAGAATTTACAATCTAAGTATAAGACAAGAAAGAATAGATGGGTACTGACAGATGCTGGAGTACAAGTTCTGGTCTTGGCACACCAGTGGCCTTACTGTTGTAAAGTTTTTTTTGTTGGCATCATGGCAAAGGAGAGTTTTAAGGAGGGGTTTGAAGGAGGATAATGAGGTAACTTTGGGGATGTTTATAGGGAGCTTGACCCAAAAGTAAGGAGCACCACAAAGATGTGCATTTGAAAATTTAACAAGTGGGCAATGGAGTTGACATTGTGGACTGATCAGAGGTAGGAGTTGACCTCTTGATAGTGACCCTGAAGTACAGCCTCCAATACAGGCCACTTATCTGAATCTAAGAAATTAGAGGTGGTAAGAACCACATACATATAGTTAAAGGTGGGCTTATGCTGCAGATTTCTCTAATACTGAACAGTATTTATATTTGAGGTTTGGTTTGGGCCATGGTCCCAATTCAGGGGCCAGATGGAGAGCTGAAATCTAAGATTTTCTGATGTTTGAGGGTATTCAGGTGCAGGTTTTGGCTTGGGCACCTCTTTGATAATGAGCCATCAAAGCCCACCCTGGGAAGCTAGCACACGTATTGCTCTCCATTGCCCTTTCCTGGGAGCTTAAGAGAGGGGAGAAGCCATTTTGAAGCAGTCTGGAGCCAGCCAGGGGAAGGGCAGGACTGGCTGTGTGGGGAGCTGCGTGCAGGCCTGCATGCAGGTTCCCCTGAGAACTGGCCTCTGCTTGGCCCTTTCCCTCTTCAAAGTGACTCCCAGTTTTTAGAGCTTTGTTGGGAAAACTTCCCCAGCCTGGCTGAGTTAGCCTTCTAGCTTCCTAGGTGAGATCCATCACACATGGCAAGCTCTGCTCTGGGTGCTAGACCAGGGTTGCTGCCTGCTGTGAGTATGGCTGAGTGCTGGGATAGGAAACTAAAGTTTTGATTTTTAGTATAGTTTTGTAACCTGCACCTTGAGCCCTGCACCCCTTTGTGGTGAGGGGAAAACTTAGCCCTGGATGCAGCCTGACTCCTGCATAAAGAGGAAGCCTGCCAGCAGTGATCGTCAGCCCTCTGCAGTGACTGAGGAGTTCAGAGCCATCTCAGAACCTGAAGATCTGTCATGGAGTTGAGAGTCACCATCTTTTAGATAGCTAGTCAGGGAAATTGTTTGGGAGACCCATTCCACCCTGAACGGTGTCCTCAAGCCAGGGGATAAGGGTTTGGGAATATTATTACCGGCTGCTTATTAAATCTGCAGAGGGACTTACAATCTAATCCCACTTGTGAGTTTTTGGCCTGTACCGAACCCAGTCAGCCACACTGCTAATTGCTGCACAGAAGATATTGTGTCATCAAGGGCCCCTACAAAGTACATGTACCAACAGGACACTAATTTTATGTTTGCTATATGAGGTCACATGACTGGGGAACTTCACGGGTATTATCAGCATGGGTACTGGTGACCCTGAGAATAGTGTTTTACACTGTTATGTTAAATTTATCTCCTGTTTAATATAAGTACTGTGTTGAATATATTATATGAGTTTGTGTTATTTCTTGGGAGTCTCCAACTATCTGGCAAGTAAGTGGGGGTTACTCTTGTGGTTAGAATTTTCTTCCCATGCTGCCTTGGTGACCCTGTCAGGAAGGAGAAAGAGGGGTAGAGGCAGCACCACACAAGTTCATATGGAAAGAAAAAGTTACACCCTGCTGAGTGAGTGGTAGGGTCCAGAAGAACCCAGGCCTGTCCTTTAAAACCCTTAAGCAGATTGGCACTAAAGGAGGTAACTGGCTAGATAGGGGGCACTACATATACATTAATTTGTGGGTAGCTTTGTTAAGTTTGGAGTGATTGTATACTCAGAAATTAGCATTCTGGGGTTTATTTACAATCCTGTAACATTTTACATAGAGAGAAAATGAATACAGTCAGGCCTGTTTAATCCATGCTTTTCAAATATGATTGGCTTATCCCTTCAGTCTGGGCATTGAAAGGCTGTACATAGTAACCAGTTTTACAGTGTGCCAGTGTAAACACATAGTTCTCAACTCCAGGAAGCTCTGAGACACTGGCCTTTGTAATATGTAACACAGACAAAAAATAATAGAGAAATTAGGTGAGGTCCTTTTTTTTTCTGTGTATAAAGCCTTAAGGACATAGGACTTGCCATGCCCAATAAGAGCAGTTATCCACCTAGTATTCACTATCCTGTCCCTGATGGTCCAAGACCCGATGCTTCAGAGGAAGCTGCAAGAAATCCTGTAATGGACCATTATGAAATAACCTGCCCATAGGGGAAGCTTCTTACGTGGCCCCAGTTAGTTAGCACTTGGCTTATGCACTAGACATGAGGGTTTATAGTCCTTTTAAATATTTTAACCCTTTCTAATGTAACTGTGCTTATTGTATTATCCATATCAGTATCTAATTCTTCTTTTTCCTCTCTGTGTAATTTCAGTTCAAGTCTGTATCTCTGGCATTAGCAATAATATAGCACCTTCCATCCAGGGATTTCAAAGTGTTAGAATTAATATCTCAGAATATCTCTGTGAGGTCAGTATTCATAGATTCCAAGGCCAGAAGGGACCATTGTGATCATCTAGTCTGACCTCCTGTGTAGCACAGGCCAGAGACCTTCCCCCAAAATAATTCCCAGAGTACATTTTTTTAGAAACACATCCAATCTTGATTTAAAAATTGTCAGTGATAGAGAATCCACAACCATTCTTGGTAAATTGTTCCAGTGGTTAATTACTCTCATTGTTAAACATGAGAGTAATTAACTTATATCCAGTCTGAATTTGTCTAGCTTCAACATCCAGGCATTGGATCATGTTATACCTCTCTCTGCTAGACTGAAGAGCCCATTATTAATTATTTGTTCCCCCTATAGATACTTATAGACTGTAATCAAGTTACCCCTAACCTTCTCTTTGTTAAACTCAGAGCTAAATCTCTTTAGTTTAACAGTATAAGCCATGTTTTCTAATTCTTTAATCATTCTCATCACTCTTCCCTGAACCTTCTCCAATTCATCAACATCTTTCTTGATATTTATTCCTATTTTACTTGTGGGGAAACTGAGGCACAGCGAGTTAGGGTCTGATTCAGTGCCCATCAACTTCAGTAGAAAGACTCCCATTGACATCCATCTGAGATCTTCACTGAATTGCTCAGAGTCTTCCAGGCATTCAGTGACAGAGCTGGGAACAGAAGCCATATCTTCCAATTCTAAGTCTTGTGCCTGCACCACTTCCTCTCCTAGCCTTTCTGAGTAATGCCCCTAGGCAGTAAGGCAGAAACTGTGAGCAACACAATCACACTTTGGCCCTTCTAGCACCTCCGCTCAAGAGCTCAACATGCTTCAGTCTTTAAAGGTCATAGCCACACAACCTGCCTGTGGGCTAAGGAAATACCATTTAAAAGGTGAGGAAACCAAGTCACAAAGACTAAACGATGTAACTAAAGTCACAACTGAAGTCCCTTTTTTTGGTACCTTATTTCATTATATTATATTGTGTTGGTTTAATATTGGAATTTTGTTTTCATACAAAAAGTCTTTTCTGGAGATGTTAAAATA